TAATAATAATAATAAATCTGCCTCACTAGTTGTCAGCTTGCTCGTAGCTTCTCAACACATTCAAACCCCTTATTGTGTTGCATCTAGGAGGGAGACTAACTTTATGAGTCCTCATTATTAATATCTGTGCACTCTTGTGTGCCTTTGTGTCCTTGTAATTGTACTATTCAACATTATAAAATAACGTACCTTTAGATTGATTTGAGTTGCCATTCAGTACTGAGAGTTAAATTTCTCTTTTATTGGTAATCAGGGGGTGCCTTGCTTTAGAGATTTGAGTTAATCCAGAAGGGTTATTCCAGTGGGGAGGCAGGCCACAATGGACAATACTTTCCATCTCCATTTTTTCCTATACTTTCTCAAGACTGTACTGATTCCTTCCTTTTGTAATAACTTTTGTGTCACTTTGTATCTTTTAAAAAAATCTGTCCATAATGTATTACAAAGGGTAATAGACTTACAGAGTTCAAGAAAAGTGTTGGATGCAATTAAAATAATTTAATTATAAAACTTCTCTCTGTGTGTGTTTGTCTATATGCTTACTCAGAAAGAGAAAAGCTGTTGAGTAAACGATGCTATATTTAGAACAAAATTTATTTCTAAAATTATGTAGGTCTACCAACAGATAAACATAAACTGGTAGCTTGAACCATTAATGAAAACATAAATTGCAAGAAGGGCATAGGCAGATGTTTACAGCAGCGGCAAGTTTTACATCAAAATGCCTATATTCACAGACATCTCTTTATAAACAGCATTTTAACGGATTTTCAAATGTTATTCTTTTTCTCCCTTAAATTATTTCAGTTTTTAAGTCATGATGCAAGAATCTGGGACTGAGACAAAAAATAACGGTTCAGCCATTCAGAATGGAGGGAGCACTGGGAACCACTTACTAGAGTGCAGCCTACGGGAAGTGAGATCAAACGGAGAGACACCTTCTGTGGAAATTGGCGCTGCAGATCTAGCCCATCTTCAGCAACAGCAGGTACAGTAAATTATATTACAACTTTACTGCCCAGGGGAGTTAAGGGTGAAGGAAGAAATAAAGCCCTTACTTGGCCATGTAAAAAAGGCTGTGTTGTTTTCCAAGAATTAAGTACTTGAAGAAATGCACATGGCATATATGCATATGATATTGTGTGTTTTGCCTTCTATGGAGCTAAACTGGAGATTCAAAGTGACTGTTTCATATATCTCACGGGAGTTGCTTTTTTCTGATATGCACATAAGAGAGATACAGAGATCATAGGCTGATTTTGTTGTGTATTGGTGACTTCACAAAATAGTTCTGAATACAAAATATGTAAATGTTTGCTTGAATGTTTGCTTTTACAACAAAACAGACTATGAACAAGCTGGCAACAACATCTGTTAACAAAGGATTTTTTTTAAAAAAGTATCTTTAGGTTGGAAAATCCTGCTTGATGTATCTGTGCTGTTGGAACTGAGGACAGAATATATCTCTGAGATATTGCCATTTAGGTAGAATTAAAGTCATAATTGTATTTTTTTTTTTAAGAAAAGCTTCCTTGATGTGAATTCTCAAAAGGCAAAAGGGGTGGAATTTGGTGGTTCACAAGTATGTGTATGACTGGAACCTTGATGTTCTATGATGCTAAAAATGTTCTTGGAGTCTTTTAAATAAGCCTTTGACATTGGTGTGAAGTCTTTGCTATGTGTAATGGTCTTGTCTGCAGGTTGTTGTACAGTAAAAAAAACAAAGGTGGAAAATACAATGTAATGAGCCAACCATACTATTTTTCCCTAGAAAATCAAGTGCTACACAAAATAAATTCACTGCAGTTTAGCAGTCTAAAATTTGCATGATGCTAAACGCAGTAGACAGTTATTTCAGGGGTTTTTTTTCCTATAGGTTTCTTACTTGAAGTGAGAATACAATCAGTGAGAAAATCACAGCCATGCTGAATTCATTACTGCAGTAGTCACACAAAACCATGGATAAAATTTCAATAAGTGCAGGCCACAGTTGAGTAAACAGTTGCACTGAAACTTAATTCCTGTTGACTTTTCCTTCATTCTTCGCCAGGGGCACATTCTGCATCGTAGTGCAAAGACAACAGGAGTTACAGCTTTGATTAATACAGGACAGTGGAACAGAATAAGAACAATAAAGTACATTGGAACAACACAGAACACAAAGACCTTCCTTTGAAAAGAGTTTGCACATTAAAATAAGCTTATGCTACTGTAATGTACAGTCTGAGCATTATGCAGATTTCAGTCTTGATTGCTTTCTTGCCATATTTGTGGTTCACACACACACAAACACACATGTATGTATATGTTGTGCGCATATGCATTTGTTTACAGAAAGCAGCTGACTTGAATAATACCAAGCCTGACGATTTTTCTCTTTTCACCAAATATTAATCAGCATCAGGGCTACCCCTTTTTAACCTTTCTGTAATCAAGCCCCCCTCCATAATCAGCCAGAGGGGTTACTGTTGAGCGAAGTAACACCTTTATCATGCATGTAATGTGTCACATCACTGAGCAACAATCCATTTTGAGTGCTTAAGGTGAGGCAGCAGTGCATTCCAGGCCGGGAACTAAGTGCCCTACAGCTCTTTCCTAATTCTTGGCTGGAACAGATAGATGTGCTGATCTCTGCATGCCCTAGAAACAAGACATTCAGAATGTAAGAAAAATTTTGTTGCATATGAATTAAATGGAATTCATGCAAGTAAATGTTAAATTTGTATCTAGTTATATCACCATCTGTTCTATCTTTGGCTCAGGTGAAGTCACCTTTGGGTTACAGCCTTGTCAATGGGTCCTCACACTCTTTCTTTGTTCTTCTTTGTGGCCTCTGTGAATGCACACAAATGGGTTGTTCTGCACCTGCGCAGGATGTCTCGGACGTTTCTAGAGCTTGAAGACATGTTATTAGTAGGGCGTTTCCCCGTGGAGCGCATGCTTCACCCTCCAAAAGTCCCCTCAGTTCCTTTTTGCCGCCGCTTCGATTGGACTTCTTTCGGAAGAATTCCAGGAAATGCTAGCAAGCAATATACATAGAGGATAAAATTTTTAGTGGTAGTCTGTTGTGTGCCATAAAATGTTATTAATGAGCACTTCTGTTAATATTATTTATGGGAAGACTCCATATTTGATTGTTCTTCAGACAAGCAGGAACATGCATATATGCTATGAATAAAGAGGTTAGGAGGTGTCTGCTTCTTTGTGAAAATGAGTTTGTCAGTTTATCCCTTATTTTATTTCTGTTTCTCATGGAGAGGGTTAACAGTTAAGAAAATTAGAATCTTTAGCCTAGGTTGTAGAAAGGGTTTCCATGTGAACTCAACCATAATGAAAACCTCAGGTATTGAGATTATCATGGTTAGTATTAGTATCAAGATGTGCTTTTTCACATGGGCCTTTCTATTCGTGATTAGTTGTCCTTCTTCAATATGGTACAATTCACATGTTATGGACTACAACTCCAGCTTTTCTAGGCCAGACTACTATCTTCAAAGATAGCCTACCAGAGAGCTATGACAACATCTACTCAGTGACCATGGCAGGCCATCATATTCAGAAATTACAGAGATATTTTTCAGTTTGTATCCAGTACAGGCCCTTGCTTTTGATGTTGGGAAGGAATACGTAGAGCTGGTGGATCCTTTGTAAGAATATTTTTCTGATGAAAACTGATAAAATCATATTAGATGTATGATGTAAAATCCGAAGGTTAGGAAAGTACTAAACAAATCATTATAGAAGGAAAAAGGCTGTGCTAATGGAGAATCTTGTAGCTGATTTCCTCCCATTTAAGGGGATTACCAACATTTTGGCAATAAATATAGGTGTCAAAATAGGACCTTTCTGAATAAAGTGTTAAGAGAAGCATTGAGAAATGGAAACAGCTGTTGTGGGCACAACTGTTGCCAACAATGCCATCCAGTTAGGATGATGTGCGTGTCTCTTTCTAGCAAAGATTGGTAATTTTTTAAATTTAACTGAATGTCTTTGCTGGAAAATAGATGCACACCATATGACATATGAACATGTATTAAGGTAACACATAATGTTGGAAGCAGCCTTCAAGATTAACACTCTGCAAACTTTTTCCAACAAAATGCTGCACAATTCAGATATATCTAGTTTTTCTTTAAAGAGCCTACTTGAGTGCAGTTCTTTTTTTTTTAGAGTAGTACCTAAGTTGAATCAATATAGAGCAATGTACAGTAGGTTGTCATACATTCTAGTGAAGGCATTAATAGATAACTGAATCACAAATGAATATACCCAAGCTGATTGCTTTGGAGAGCTCATAGTTCCTCGAAAGATGTGAAGCTGAGATGGGAAAATGGGGCAGAGGCTTTGACAGGGAAACGAGATGCCCAAGAGTGCTTTGGAAGCATCACATAGCTGGAGGGAAACATCATGTCCTGTGAAGTGTGTACCAAAAGATCAGCTTGGCTGGATCGTTTTTAGGTCATGCTGGACTGCACAAAACATGAAAATGAAAGTAATAAAACATTTATTGAAGGAATTAGTGTTGTGACTCTCTGACTTTTCTACAGATACAAGTGGTCACAGCCCTGGTTGCTTTATATGTGCATAGCAATGTCAACAGTGGACACTTTGGGGCACTGTCCTTTCTCACTTCTTAGGAAGTTTTAGAAAAACAGCCATTGCATAAAATTGATGTTTTACAGCTAGTCAAATATTTGGATCATAAAGTATTGTTATAGGCTTCGAAAGAAGAGCTAAGAAATTGAATTTGAAAATATCATAAAAGTCCTGAAAAGCTGTGTTGAGCAACAACAGCAGAAATACAAATGTTCCTTGAATGATAGAATGTTCTATTCTGATACCATGGCTTTAAGCTGCCAAACCCTCAATTTGGTTAACATCCAAAAATATTTTTGAACTTCTAAGAATTTTGAACTTTCATCACTTTGTCTTTGAACTGCAGCTAACTGTAGTTAGTTAACTCTTCAGATAACACAACAACTCTGGTTTATTATTCTGAAAGTCAGGAAATGGCCCAATATTGCTACACAGTATTGTGCCCACGTTGCCAGCAAGAAAAAGGATGTACATAGCAAAGGGCAACCTGAATGTTGACAACACCAATGGCAGCATTTGAATAAAAAGTTTATATTTTGCATTTTTCTCTGAAACATGTTTGCTCAGTATAGCTCTAACTAATGGGGTACCCAGTGTGGTATACCGGATGGTGTAGGACTTGGTTCAGTTCCCCACCTCTGCCATGGAAGCTCACAGGATGTGTGGAGCTGGTAAAACCACTCCTTAAGTACCTCACTTACCTTGAAAACCCTATTAGGGTTGCTATAGGTCAGTTCTGACTTGAGAGCATATAACAACAAATAGATCTAATAACAGATAAGGTAGTAGTGTATATGTTGCCCATAAGGCCTTAAGGAAGCAGACATCTAATTCTTACTTGGAAATATATCTGTGAAGATTCTCAGTCATCCAGGTAAGGTTATCTGGAAGCTGAGTCATGGCAACTGGACCTCTTTCTTATTAGGTTGAAACGTTTCATTACTCATCCACGTAGCTTCTTCAGTCTGAGGAGAATGGTTTGAGAGAGGGCTCAGGGAGGCCATACATGTGTATATAGAAAATTCCTTACTCAGCAGGGTGGAGGCCTTAGATACAATCGCTCCCCTATTTATCATGCCGCCCTTTCATCCGTGCCCAGAAAGATCAGAACCACACACAGCAGAAAGACCACTATTAACAACTCCTAACAACAGATAAAATGGGTGGAGAGGTACTGCAGAAATGGGGTTTTCACTCAGCCCCCCCCCAGTCCATTGTCCATATAATGAGCCTATTCAGACCAGGGGGGAGTGAAACCAAGGTGGAGGGATCTCCTACCAACTCTCCTCAGACTGAAGAAGCTACTTGGATGAACAGCGAAACATTTCAACCTAATAAGAAGTCTAGTTGTCATGACTCACCTTCCAGACTTACCTGGAAATGTGACATTTA